TAAGCGGCTCTTCTCGTGAGACATTCTATGCCATTACATTTTCTGCTTCAACATTTACATCAATAGTAATATTCTTCACTACTTCTTGAGAGGTTTCTCCATCTCTTTCAGAGTTCAATTCATGCTACTCTCTAAAATCATCTTCATAAATGACTACATCATTATTCCACTGCCCACATATAAAGTCTATATAATTTTGCAGCCGTGTAAGGAAATTTTGTCTCGATGACCACTACATCTCTAGAGACAACATATTTAAAATTTTTCTAAGTTATATAACCTCCAACCTTTTTTTCTAAACACGTACCAACAAAAATGTATTTTTTAACCCTACGACCAAACTTGTCTTTCTCACAATTCAAATTATGTGCAAAACATAGATAATCAAATATTATAATGTTATCGTATGAAGGTGCATGGCCAAAAAGGATTTGATATGGGTTTTACCGTTTAGTAACATACTAGGTGTTCTATTAATCAAATATCTACCTGTGAGTCTCCCCAAAAATCAATAGGCAAATGGGCTTGGAATCACAATGCCCTTGCCACATTGAGAACATTCTGGTGTTTTCTCTCCACTTGTCCGTTCTACTGGGGGGTTCCAACACAAGAGGTCTGATGCAGTATTATCTAATCTTCAAAATACTTGCTTATGCTAAGGAACTCATTACCATTGTCACTTCTAACAAACTTTACATCTTTCTTAAACTATATATGAATCATAAAAAATCCTTTAAGAACATTAGCAACTTTAGATTTTCTATTTAGCAAATATATCCACATAGCACGAGAATAATCATAAATAATTGTCAAAAAATAATTCACCCCATAAGAAGCCAAGACTTTATAAGGTCTCCATAAATCACAATGTATCAAATCAAAACATTCTTTAGCTCTACTATCACTAGGTAAAATTTTCTCTTGTTTGTTTTGTTCTAAAATAAATATCACAAATTTTATCATTATTCTTATTATAATTTCTAACTTGATGTATTAGCTCTGCCACTTTAGTTGAGGGATGACCCATATGCTTGTGCCATATTTCAAAAGATGTTTCACCTTTGACTTTTGAAGCATATGCCGTCACCACTCCTTAGAGAAAGTACAACCCCTCGTGTCATTCACGTGCTACAATCAGCTTCCTCGAAATTTGGTCTTGTATAACACAAATTTTGTTAGTAACTTGAAGAATAGAATTAGAATCATGAAGAAACTTCAATACAAAAATTAAATTGCATTACATATTTGGAATAAAAAGAACGTGTCTCAGTTTCAAATCTCCTCCAAGAAACATGGTCCCTTTTTTCATTGTCATGGTTTCCTCTCCATTAGGCAAGAATATTGAGTATGGAACAATATTCTTCACATCTTGTAAGCATTTTAAGGTCCCTGTCATATGGTTTGTAACCCCTGTAGCAATAATCCAATATATAGATTTTTATTTATCTGTTAGTTTTTCATTGGTACCACTTTTATATACACTCAACATCCCAAGCACTGCTACTTATTGTTCATCATTTAATCTAATAAGAGCTTTTCTATTAGATTTCGTCAAAGTGTCACGTCCCCCATCAAATGTGGTAGTTTGTGCTGTGTCTGCCCGATCTATTCTAGTCTTGGTTCATCCTCCACTATTGTCATGTTTCCTCCCATTGCCTCATGCAGAAGTAGTCGTGCATGGTCTATTTCCCCACCATTCAGGGTATCTTATGAGCTGAAAGCAATTATCAGCGTCTTGTCCTTCTCGGTTGCACTTAGAGCACATACCAGTTTTGTCTTTCTCCTTATCCCCCTTGAATATTGACCACCTCTTTAAACCACAAAACTCATGGCACTACTTCTGTCCTCTTTTTTCCGTGCAATGGTTCTTACTCGTTTTTGTTGAACAACTATGACATAGGCTTGATTCAGATTTGGCAAGGGTTTCGTACTTAAGATATTAAAATGTACTGTTCTATATCCACCTTCATCCAATCCCATCAAAAATTGATGAACTCTTTCCTCCTCATGTTTTCTTTCCAATTCAAAGGAGAGGTTGCATTTGCACTCAACACAAGTGCACATCGATATTTGATTATAGTTATTCAATTCATCTTAAAAAGTTTTGAGCCTTCTAAAATAAATCACCATCGCTTGTCCATCTTTTTTGCAATTCGTCAGATCTATCTTCAGTTGTTGCGCTCAAGGACCATTACCGATGAAAAAAATGTGGTCTAATATCTTCTGACAAATCTTTCATGGTTTCCATATATGATATGGTTTATCGGAGAGTAGGCTCAATGGTGTTGATTATCCAAGATACCAGCATAAAGTTGATTGTCCACCAGTTTTCAATTTCAATGGAATCGTCTCCTAGTTATTTCATGGTTCCATCAATGAAACCTTATTTCTTCTTGGCTCGCATTCATTGCTCGTGCCCATTCTTCATAATTTTCTCCTTTCAACTGCACTTGAGTGATTATATTTTCAGGATTGTCGTTTGCATTCAGAGTACAAGGGGCCAACATTTTCTTATCTAAACCTGTAATACCCGAGCCCGAAATTTACCACAGTATTAATTTTAAAATTTTAAAAATATATAAAAATATAATTTTAAAATTAATAAATTTTTATTTAATGTGAAATTAGGAAAAAAAATAGGTTGGGAATGAAATTGAAAATGATTTTTGGGAAAAAAATGGTGAAATTTTGGGTTCGGAGGGTATTTTTGAAAGAAAAATCAGAAACTGTAGGTTAAAACGTAATTAAAAAAAATTGCACCACGTAGGACCGCCCAGTCAGCAACCCGGACGAACCGGAGTACGTCGTGTGGCAAGGCATGCTGACTTGGTGATACGCTGACAATCTACGTGCCCGCGATCGAACGACCCGGATACGTTTTTGCGCGCGTGGATGGTCTGGACCATTCCCTCCTCAGGCGTGATCGGATAGTCGCGATTAAATGCAATGAACGGTCCAGATTTATTCCCTTTTTAAATGCGATCGTACAGTTGAGATCAAATTACGATAAATAGTTCAGATTCATTTTCTTTTTAAACGCAATTAGATGGTCGAGATCAAATGTGATGAACAGTTCAAATATAAACGAGACGGGTATAAATATCTCGCATCACACCGAACTCAAACCCTAGCCACCAGCCTGCAGCCGGAGAAAAAGAATCAGTCGTTGGAGAAGAGAGCCGATCGCCTCCCACTGCCGCGCCGGAGCCACTTTCGACTTCTCCTATCCGCTCAAAATTTAATTCCTAGCATCTTTATGGTTAAATCAAAGCAAAAGGAATGGCAGATAAGCCAAAAATCGTGGGTAAAGCCCAGTGTTTCCTCTGTGGGCAAAACTCGAAATCACCTTCGATGAGTCCCTTCCCGTTTCGTGTAATTTTTTTACCATTGTGTTTACCGTTCTATTTTTTATAAGTTGACCAAAGAAAAATGCCCATCCGCAGAGGTGAGTTGGCGAAGCCACCACACCAAAAAATTTCGCCGCCGATAGGTTTTCGTTTTTTGACCTTTTTTAGCCAACCGAGGCCCTTTAACGTATTTTCTCGCAGGGATGAGCATAAAATTAGCCAAAACTGACTAAAAAATGGCCAAATCGAGGCAAACCACCGCTGCGAGTGGTGGTGTCGTCACCGGAGCACGGTGGTGCCGCCGTGTCGGAATTCTGAAATTGGCCGAAAAAAAGTTTTTAACACCGATTTTAGATTTTTTGGAGTATTTTTAGGTACGTGAAGCGTGTTTTAATCTACACAGAAAAATTTAGGAAAGTCAGAAACTGCGAATAAGCACAGTAGAGAGTTCAGTATTTCGAACACTCATTCGGGTAAGAAACTCTCACCTTATTCTCTGCTATGGAATTAAAGCTTAATAATCGATAATATAGTATTTTGTATAAATTAAAAAATTTTGAAAATAATTACAGGTTACTAATAAAGCCGAAACTGGTTAGTTATTTATTTGTATTGTTTAACTAATTATTGAATTTACAGTGTTAAATACATGATGATATACTGAAATAGTTAAACGATTCAATTGTGCTTCCTTGATATATATATTACTTGTCTTGAGTGTTTTATGGTTGATTTGTGAAATTGGTAATTAATATGCAAACGAAAAATTGTTTGGTCATGTGAATTGATGAGTGGTAGCCTTATTGGATATCTTGAGAGATGATGGACGGACCAAACATGTAGTAAACCCTACCGTAAACGTTGTCTTATACCAAACGGGGTATCGAGGAATTATCGTTTTGGTGCTCATACTGGATGGGGTATTGAGGGATAATATTTTTGGTGCTCATACCGGAGAGGTATGGGGACGACCCGATTCACCCTCATACCGGATGAGGTATTGAGAAATTGTATTTTTGGTGCTCATATCGGATGGGGTATGCGGACAACCAGTTTGTTAAAAATATTGAATATGAGTTCACGCGTAGTGAGATATCCCTATATGCCCTCAAGGATACTAGTAGGCAAATAAAAAAAGAAAATAATTGCTATTGCTCACTTGAAAATGAGATTGAAATGTTATTTGAATTATTGTATCTCTATAGGTCGATTTTGAAAATTTCACAACAGTAAATATATGCAATAAATGGTTTTTCCTTATGATAAATGAATTTACTTAAATCAAGAGCTCCATTGATTGTTTTTATGATTTTTACCAACATTCAGTTTCTGTATCGGTGAGTAGTGTGATATTTTTATTGGGCTAGTGTACCTCACCCTTTCATTAACTATTTCAGATCAAGAGGACCAAGATCCAGATCCCGATCAACAAGAGGGTTGTGATAAGTACACACCCGAGCTCTTTAAAAAGCTAATGAATGTCGTTCTAGAATACTCAGTTATTGGTTTTTTGTTTATTTCCTTAATATTTGTAATTTTTTAGAAGAGACATTACCTTAAGTCTATTGGGTATTCTAAATTATTGTGTAAGAAATATAAACTCTAAACTCTATTGTTTCGCTTCCGCATTTAATTCATGATTTTATTTTCTTTTAAGTTTCGGACCTTTACAAAAGCAGTCCCTCAAGATCTTTCTTTTTTTTGCCATAGATATGATACCATGAAAATAACGAGATAAATTTGGAGGATAATCACTGAATCATATTGCTGACAACCTTCTTAATATATACAAAAGAATTTCTTATTTAAGTGAGAAATCCTACTAATACAAGAATCTTAAATAAAGTAAACTATCATTTCTATACAAGAGGATTTTTAATTTAAATGAAGAATCCTACAAATACAAGAATTCTAAATAAGGTAAACTATCAATCTCAAATACAGCTAAATAAGTAACAATAATATCAATAACCACCATATCATTTGTAGCTTAGTTGTTTATATAAACTACCTTTTTATTAAGAGTGTAAGACTTTAACATTTACATGACGTATTTGAGTTCAGCAAAATAATATATATAAAATTAAATAATAAAATCACATATAAAAAATTGATTGAATAAAGAAATATTTATACAAGATTATAATTATAAATTTTAACAGTATATATAAAATTAAATAATAGAACCACATATAAAAAATTGATTGAATAGAGAAATATTATACAAGATTATAATTATAAATTTTATCATTTGAAAAGTATATCTTTTACTAAATTTTTATTAAAAAAAATAACATGATAAAATAATAAAAAACAATTTTTGTACCAATTATATTTTTTTGTTTTGTTCCATATCTCAAATTCATGTTTTTTATTTTATTTTTATTTTTTTCTTTAATTGTCTTTATAAACACAACATTATATTAAATTTATGGAAAAATATTAAATTAATATTTAAAGTTTGATACTTATTATAAGTTAGTTTATTTTTTTTGCTATGATTTATTTTTTAATATTTTATATTTATTTTAAATATTTAATTTAATATAATTTTATACATAAAAATTAAAATTATTAAATTATATTTGAATACTTTACAAATGATGTAAACAAATAATTTTGATTAATTAATTTTTTAATTATTTTTAAAATATTTAAATATAATTTAATAATAAATTTTATTTTTATTAAAAAATAAAAAATTATATATTTAAAATACATAAAAATTATTATAAATTAAATTATGAAATAAAACTTTTACAATTAAATTATAACAAATAACAAAATTTAAAAATTAATTTAATAATTTATTCTAAATTCATCGCCCAAGGATCATCACATAAATTTATTTTCACACGCGTCATAAAAAAGGACAAAACTGTTGTGATATCCAATAATTTAGGGGAGTATATAAAAGAAAAAAAGAAATTCAGAGGAGATCGTCGCCTGTCTCTCCGTCTTACTGCATAATGATCACTGAGCAGTCACAGAGGCTGCCGCGTGGTTTCAGGATGATCCATAACTTCAATATTGCTGTTAAGCGCGATTTCTTTTATTGCCTTCTGGATCAGAATGTCTCCTTTCGTCTCCTTGCTTTTACTCTCTCGCCTGGTAACGCACTCTACTTCTGCCTGTCATATGTACATTTAGAGTTATAAATTTCTACAAATTCGACGAATAATATGTTTAGAATGCTAGAAGGAAGAGATACTGTGAGGTTTTTCTCACACCAACATGAAAAGCGTGTTAAATCAAGACTTCGGTAAATAACTGATACATATAATCTATTAGATTCCGAGGAACTGGAGGAGAATCTGCTGTGTTTGTGATATTTTTTTTGGTTGTAAAAGAAAGATTTAGAAGCCTTGTGGACATTGTGCTTGGAAAAAAAAAAAATTAATTGGTGCTTCTTTTTTACTGGATCTAAATTATACACGTGTATCTAAATTATACACTTTTGTCTACAATATTATAGATATGTTAGCTGTGAATTATGTATCTTTACCTGTTTAGAATAAGAAATGGATCTTTTTCATGACTAATGCAATTATAGTCATTAGGGTTTTTGATTATTGAGCATTAGTTTCTAATGCATTTGTCATCTTTTCCTGTTGAAATGTTCATTTTATTTCCTCAACCATGTCATATAATTTTTGTTTTTAGATTGCTAGTAGAATAAACTGAAATATTATTATGATGTTTCTCCTGTAATTATAACGAAGACATAGTGTATGGTATTTATAGAGATATCGATAACAAACTAAGAAAACTAAGAATGATAATTTAGATATATGGAGAATTACTCGAAATACTTTATTACTCTCTGATAGACTATACGAGAAATATTCAATTCTAACACTCACTCAATTCTTAAACTGAAGCTTCATCCGGCGTTCCAACTCGCCACAAAGAAAACAGTGGAAATAATTGATTGCAACTAATTATTTTACAAATTTAAATGGTGAAAAAGTGACTAATCTAGTGTTTATATTCTAATGCACATTCTCATGCAAAAGCCCACAAAAGTGGATGCATGGATGATGTAAAGGCTTGCCATACCTTGCAGTAAATTAAAATTTAATGAAAATAGAGCATTCAGCTTCATACATTAGATCTTTGGCTTTGATATTGTGTGAAATAATTGATCGTGACTAATTACCCTTAAAAACTTAGGTAGAAAAGATGTGATGCAATCTATTATCAGTATTATATTCTAATAAAACTGTACCAAATAAAAGATTAAAGTAAACAAATAACAATGCGTGATATAAGTTTACTTTTCAAATTAACATTAATAACTTGTAACTTGATTCCATGAATGACTACTGTTTTACCAGCTCAAAACCACTTGCAGTGAGGTCAATGAACAAAAATAGCTCGATAGGACTAGGGTTTGCACAATTGAATTATCACCTTTCTGTTGGGCCACCATAAACTTTTATTAATCTAGTACCACACTAGGTAGGTCTAGGATTAGCATGATTGAATTATCACTTTTCTGTTGGGCCACCATAAATTTTTGTTAATCTAGTACCATGCTAGAGGTATTGTTCTTGTTATTATGTTAAAGAAATAATACATGGTAATTGTGGGAATACTCATCTCAAGAATAGGAAACTAAGATATGAACTTAACTAATAGGAAATTTATAAAATAGGAAAAGAATATATGAAATTTTAGTACTTTATTATTCTTTAACAGACCATACTGGAAATATTTTCATTCTCTAACATGTATGATAAGATGTTTCTAGAAAAGAGAAAGAAAAGATAAAGTTCCAAGAGCATGAAAATCAGATGATATGATACTTTCTTTGTGGAGCTGATGAATTTAAGTTTTATCCTTGTGCCATCTAAAAAAAGAGGGAAAGATAAGGAATGCAAGTACATTTACTAGAACTAAAATAGTTATTTATTGAGGAACTAAGAGAGGATTGGTGAAAGGTTTATTAGTTGGAGTTGAGGATGTGGAAGTTTTCAGTATGAGATTTGCATATGACACCATTCTATTGCTTCAAGAACCAACTGTTTCTTTCAAATATGATCTGCACGCTTCAAGTTTTTGGGATTACTTGTACCTTTGCAGAATTTAAGTAAAAGTGGCTTGGGGGGCATTGACATTGACAATGAGGCTCTTCATAGCACGATAGTGGTTAGTGGTTGTGTAATCTTAAGCTGGAAATCCTTAAGCAAGTGCTTTTTGGAATTTCAGGATCATAAGATTTCAAAGAGGTTACACAATTTCTGATGTATTTTTCTCTTTAATGAGAAAAGTGAACCTAATTTGGGCCTGGTTGTCGAGTAGTCCTCTTTATTACTTTTCCTTTTTGGAGATTCCTACAGGGGCAGCAATAAAAATAATGAAGACGTCAGGGATTTTCCGTGGGCTGGTATTAGAGGAAGGGGAGGGTGTCATAATACCACTTGGTGACATGGGATGTTTGTTCTAAGTCCAAAGAACAAGGTTCGGGTCTTGACAGTTCAGTTTCCAAAAATACATGGTGCTGCGAAGGTGTAGATGCATGGTCAACCGAGGCTTCCTGTGTAAATTGGGTGCAGAATCGTGTAATCATATATTATTGTGGTGCCCAATGGTGGATAGTTTATGGACAATGATCTATGGTCTTTTGGGGATTAAGTAGATTATGGCGGGCTCTGTGAGAGATGAATTGTGGGCGTGGGCGGGGTTTTGCAAAAAAAAAACACACCTACTCCTCATTCCTATATCTATCTTTTGGGTGGTGTGGAAGGAGAGAAATGCTAGAGTCTTTGATGAGGTTGAAAGGGACTTCGTTATCATTAAAAATAGATGATTTTATACTTTTGGTTTTATGATTTTGGGTCATGACATCAATGATTTATATGATTTTGGGAATGTCATTAACCACTTGCTTGAATTGTAAATATTTTTGTACATGGGTGGTACCCCTTTGGTACTGATGATCATAATTTATACTACACTATACTTCTATTTCAAAGAAAAAAATAGTTCAGTTTCCAAAAATATTGCTTTAGTTGCCAAATAGTTGCGATGCTTTTCTCTTGAGTCTCTGGCTTTATGACATAAGTTGATAGGGAGGGACTGATAAAGTATTATCTTTGTTGAAATATATGTGATACCAGAATAAGGAGCCAACGTGACTCACTGAAGCCTGTGGAAATTCGTGTCCTGGATATATCTTTCTTTTTGCATTTTCCTCAATTGAAGGTTGGGGCCATTCCCTTTTTCTAGGAGGATACTTAACTGGGGGGGATTTCTCTACTTTATTTCCTTGCCTTTTCAGTATTTTCATCATCCTAATGCTTCCTTTGTAACTCCTGAGGTCTTCATCTCTTGGACTTTTCACCTTTTCAGACATATAGATAAGTATGTGGTCTTTAATTCTTCAGATTTTATTCTCTTGCAAATCCTTTTTCTCCGTTTGATACTCATAACTTGGTAATTTGGTTCTTAGTACTTCTTTTGAAAGGTGGAAGTTCTGTAAAAGAAGTTCAATTATGCAAAAGAACTAGGAGTCTATCTTATATTGATGTCTGCTCCTCTTTTTTTTTTGGTTTCATTTGGTGGGTTGATTCCTTATCCTTGCTTATTGTATTCCTTTTTTTTGTTTTTTCTTTTTTCATAATAATATCTACTTTTTTTAGAAAATCTTGAATGGTTTAATTTTTATGTTAAAAATCAAGTCCTTGAAAAGATTCTTATTTGACAATGGAAAGTCCCTGGAGTCTTGTCTTTGACTTCTTGGTGTTGTGTTGTCTTCTTATCTTGCAGGGGATTGTTAATTTTCAAGAATCTCAACTATCACCATTTGGAGACATTTATTCTCCAACTATTTCTGGATAGGCTTTGGTGCGAATGATCTCATCTGCTGTAAAGCTGCAAATACCTTATCACTTCAAAAGTTTAAACTGGGTCTCTAGTTAGGTAGGTTAATTTTAAATATTCCTTATGTATCATCTGCAATGATTAAACTTATAGAAGTTTTCTAGTTGGTTTTACATGTTCATATGGCTGGGAGTAAAGCCTATGGTAGTATAACATCCATCTTATGGATGAAGTTATTTATAGGAAATCATCTTTTTGTGTTACTAAATTGTGCCTTCAGAAGTTCTTCACGTGCATAAATATATATGAGCATATATAAAAATATGCTTACAATAAATGGCTGAATTTTCACATTCGGTGATCAACCATGTTACTGCAAAGTTCATGTCCACTTAACCTAATGATAGTAATTGTAAGTAGTTTAAGCATAATCTTGGGTAAAGAGGCTAAACTTTTTTTTTAAAAAAAATAAAAGTATAGTATGTATCATTTACAAGCACCAAAGAGGTATCAATTCATGTACAAAATTATTTAAATTTCAATTAGGATATCTATAAGATTCTTATAATCTTCTATAGTATGCATAAAATGACTTGTAACTAATAAGCCCACAGTTTAGAACCATTTATCCCTAACCCTATCAAAGTTGGCTTTTACCCCTTAAAAGTTCTCTTATTTTTTTATTTCCTCACAACCCAAGAAATAGTAAGGGGAATGAGACTCACATGTTTTTTCCACTGCTAATACCTTTTCATGCCCGATCTCATCCCTTAAATTGTCTGCCACCCAATTGATTCCCAATAACCCATACACTGGTCCATAACTTGTACGCCCATGGAGACTATAGCAATATATGATCGCAAGACTCTTTCGCATCCTTGCATAGGAAGCATCCATTCACCATAATCTTTTTTCCTTCTCCTTACCTTGTTAATAGTAAGTATACATCCGCTCCATGGCTCCCAAGTGAAAAAAACAATTATGGGTGGAGCACTTGCCTTCCAAGTTTGTTTATAAGGAAAGCTGATCTTGGAGGAGTCATTTTGAACCAATTAATTGTAGAAAGAATTTGCCGTATAAGTAACCTTCGCCCTTAAGCTCCAAACTAGTTGATCATTACTCTCATTTTTTTTTCTTGAAATACATCATTGTTCTCATTAAGATAGACTATGGATATTGTTTTTGAATGTAACATTAACAAGTATATTAAAGAAAGTAAGGTACCAAGGAAGTACTACTTATGTACAAAAATTTAAAAATTTGTCAGTGTGTCAACTATGTACCCAAAATCATCCTCCATATATAGATCATGGCCACCAAAACACTTTGCCCAAAATATTGAAACACCTATCCATTAATTTATAAATATCATTTTCAATACCCTCAAAAGCCCTGCTATTTTTCTGTTTCTAAATCTCCGAAAACATCGTTAAATGAATAGTTCAAGAAATTTTTTTGTTGTTTACATAAGTTTCCCAAGCCCAAATTTCCTATTTAACAGACCCTGCAATAACCCAAGAGATCCCGATTAAGTTATACACCATAGACCACAAGCTGGAAGTCACCAGACACCAAAGAAGAAGGTGGCTGCAAGATTCCGCAGCCTGTTTGCATAAGTAGTACCTGTTAACTCCAATAAAACCTCTCCTTATCAACTTATCCATGGTTAAAATATAGTCTCTTCCAGCTTCCAAAGCAAAAAAAGCAATTCTAGGCGGAACTTTTGTTTTCCAAACATTCGTGGCTGGGAAATTTTGTCCCCTACACTCTCCTCTCTGTATCAAGGACTTACAAAGTGATTTCACTGTGAAAAACCCATTTCTATTCAGCTTCCACGTCAGCTGATCACTGCTCTGATTTAACTGCGCATTAACCAACCTATTTAATAGATTTTTGTACTCCACTTCATAATCATTCAAATTTCTAGTCACTTTCACCGCCCAAACATTTCTATTCAGATTGCTTTGTCAGTTTATGGCAATGTCATTTTTATGTGTGGTCTCAATCACAAAGAGTACATATAAAAAAATTATCCAAAGATTATCTAGACTTTCTGGGCTATTTTTCAAGTTTGCGATTTAATCGGTTAGTGGTATGGAGTCAAATGCTAGAAAACTTATTTATATTCGATAATACTATAAAGAAGTTTGATACAAAAGTTCCAATTATTCCAATGATTGGATCATTGGCTAAAGCGAAATTATGTAATGCATTAGGGCATCCCATTAGTAAACCGGCCCTCCCCCCCAACCACCATCAACCATTCATGTTTTTCCTCTTTGCAATTGCATATATCCGAGGGAACTGATCTTTTAGACAACCAGCATCTATCCAATTGTAATGCCAAAACAGAATTTTATCGCCTCCATCCACTTTCCAGGACGCACAATCAAAAGTCATATGCTTTCTGGCCAATTGCCTTCCAGAAACTCATCCCACACAGCGTCCCAACTCCACATGAATCAGATCACTCTCACCCTGCCCCCATCTCGCAGCAATCACCATTCTCTGGAGAAAGTTCTCATCACTCATATGCCTCCAAATCCACTTGCCCTGAAGCGCTAAGTTAATTTCAGAAAAGGATCTCACACCCAAACCACCTTTCTCAACAGGAAGCTTCACCTTGCTCCGCTTCACCAAGTGGTATTTTCTGCCATCCTCCGCATCACCCCATAAGAACCGATTCTGAATAGTCTCAAATCTCTTGGCCACTTTGATGGGAATTGTTGGTATGACGAATAGTAAATAGGTAGGTTCGATAAAGTGTTCTTGACAAGGGCAAGCCTATCTCCTTGGAAAGTAGATTTTTTTCCAGCCCGCCAATCTCTTCTCAAATATTTTTAATGATAGGATCCCAGATACTCCCATCTTTATGTTTCAGTCCCACCAGACTACTAAGATATTTGAAAGGCAAGTTTGCTAATTTGCACCCCAGAATATCAATCAGCTCCTTGTTGTTGCCTTCACCAAAAATCACTAACTCAGTCTTTGTAAGATTAATATTTAACCCAGATACAGCTTGGAAGCAAAGGAGAATGCATCTCAAATTCAGTAACATTTTCCACTCCAGTGACAAAAAATTAAGGAGTCATCTGCAAAGAATAGGTGAGAAATCTCAATTTGATTGTTGCCTCTCACAATATGGATACCATGCAGCAAACCAACCTCCTTCGCCTTCTCCAACAGTTTACTTAGTGCCTCCATCACCATAATGAAAAACAACGGGGACAATGGATCCCCTTGTCTCAAACCTCTGCTGATCTGAAAAAAGAGGATATAGCGCTAATAAGGGACTCGAACTCATTTACCTGTCAATTATTGAAGTTCCTCATCAATTCTACTTGCCATTTTGGAAGCCCACCCACTAATTCTGAATGACTCACTTGTTGTTATGTCTTTGTTTCGTGCAATATCAAAAATCTGGAGGAATTGATCTCTAAGTGCTTCCTCATTAAACCAAGGATCCGTCCAGAAACTAATTCTCCTATTGCCAACCTTGTACTTGATACAACCCTGAAATTTATCTTTGCATATAGATTTTCTTCTAGAAACCTTTCTCATGCTGTCTTGACGAAATTTTGGTGAACCATTCTCTATCCACAGTACCAAACTAAGCTTCAATTACGCTTCTCCAAAGAGTACTATTATTTATCATGAACCACCAGAAACACTTGTCCTGAAATGCCTTGTTCTTATCCATGAACGATCTCAAACCCAAACCACCCTGATGCAACAGTTTTTTAATCTAATCCCATGTCACTAGATGATATCTCCTTCTATTCTCCAACACCCCACAAGAATCCATATTGGATGGATTCTAATTTTTTCGCTACACTCGCTGGAATTGTTAAGAGGGACATATGGTAGATGGAAAGTTTAACCAACGTACTTTTGATGAGAGTAAGCCGCCCCCCTTAGACATTAGATTTCTCTTCCGACCCTCTAATCTTATCTCAAACCTTTCTTTGATTGGATATCATCTTCTCACATTTTTATAATTAGCATCTAAGGACAACCCCAAATACTTGATCGACAACTCTACCCTTTTACTTCTCAAGATGTTTAGCCAGTCTGATAGCATCATCCCCGTCACCCAATCTCATCAGTTCTGATTTAATCAAATTAATATTAAGTGCAGAGATTGCTTAGAAGCATAAGAAGACACATATAAGATTGAGGAGCGCCCCTTCATCCGGTTCACGTAATACTAGAGTATCATCTGCAAAAAATAAGTAAGTAATTTCCTCCACCTGATCTCCTACTCCCACTTTCAGTCCTCTAAAGAATTCCAACTGTCCCTTATCAACAGCTTGTTCGACCCTTACATGGCCATGATAAACAGTAAAAGAGACAATGGATCCCCTTTTCGAAGTCCTCTAGATGCCTTGAGAATGAAGATGAGCCCCAATTGACCATGACTGTCGAGGAAGTTGTGGTGATGCTGGAATTAATTTTCCTAACCATCTCCGCTGAAGTCCATTCTCTTTAACATATAATCAATAAAGTCTCAATTGACGTGATCATAAACTTTTCCCATGTCAAGTTTGCGGAGGACCCCATCCCTATTTTAAAAAATTAATTCATCCACCACCTTATTAGCCACCCATGCAGCGTCCATAGTTTGTCTCCCTTCCACTAAAACATGTCGACAATCACCTATCACTTTATTTATTACCTTGGCCATCCTTCTGGCTAATACCTTTCCAATAAGCTTGTAGATGCTGCTGACAAGGCTAACAGGTTTAAACTGCTTCATGTTGGCAGTCCCCTCCACCTTGGCAACCAGAATTAAGGAAAAGGAATTTTAAAATTTAACAAAAGAGTCCGCCTTATGCAACTCCTTAAACACTTCTGAGATGTCTTCTTTTATAACATGCTAAAATCGTTATGCAGAGAGGCCTAACTACAGCTCGTTGCTGCAATGTTTATGTAGGAGTTTAATAGGTAGTTTCTACTTTGCTTTTGACATTGTAGCTCTCCTTTCCTTTATCTCTGGTACCTGTTTGTCTGTTTTTGAAATATGGATTTTGTTCTCTCACTATAAGGAAACTTGTATCACAGTACTAAAGAGTTCTTGCATTTACTTGGTCTTTGAGAAATTTTGTGTTTCTCTCACACACCTACAAATGTATGGGCACATATGTAAATATGCATCTCTCAAATGTTATAAAAACTTGGAAAACTGAGTTTTTAAGAGATCAAAATGTCTAAAGATTAGACAAAATTCCAATTCTGCAAATAAACTGATTATTTTTGAGAAAAAACAGAGCTGCTATCAAGACACCAAGCAGGTTCCACCCAGTTACAAGATTTGAAATTTAATAATAGTCAAAAGGTCAATGAGGTCCTCGTATGTCCTCGATCGGAGAAAGAGGCTGACTCTTGAACGAAAAATAAAGGGTTTTGGATCCATATATCTCTAACTTTATCAAACAAAAAAAAACCTCATCCTCAAAAGCTGTTGTATTCCTTTCCTTCACAATAACCTACAAGGTAACCAAAGGAATAAGAGAGATATGTTTCTTTGTCTTCTTGACACCTCTGGATACCCTGCCAAGTCCAAGCTTTGTTGCAACTGACCCAACTGATTGCCAAATGTAGATTAAGGATGTAAAAGCCATGCATCCCAAGAAATAGGGAAAAGGGCATTACAGAAGAAGAGGGTCCCTAGTCTCAGTCAGGTTCTTATTGTTCCCCAAAATAAGAATTTGAATTGGAATGCAATTTACAGACTAGAGTACAAAAGGATTCAATCAAAACAAGTAAAGCAAGTAACTAGAAATCGGCAAGCCAAGACTTTTTACTGAAAATCACAGACATACTATGCTGTAGATGCATCCTTTGATACCAAAATTGTTATACATGAGGCTGAAGTTTTACCATACAATTGTCACCCAGAAACAAAATTAAGCTATTTAAGACCTTTAAATTCTTTTGGATAGGTAACTCTAACAACAGGCCAAAATTTGCACTTTCCTTTCAAGTTCCAACAATTCTGATCTGAAATAATTATGAAGTGAGTGAGATACACAACTTAGTAAGTAATAAAATCATAACACATTAGCAAAAGATCAAGGGCTATGAGAATATATCATCAATTAGAGGAAAGAAATGATATTCATAAGCACACATTTTTGCAAATACACATATAATAGATTAAAGTTCAGCTTCTTTAAAGAGATATTGGTAGTGCCAAAATACATAAAGAATTAATTGTTAGGCAAATGGCTGTTGGTGATCTAAAGGGATTAGACTTAGGCATTGGACGTACTAATCAATAGAAAATCCCATTGGTTACCATAGTGGCACTAAACTATTATGGAAAGACAAAGTTCCCAAGTACGGCAAGACTTCCTCCATAAAAATTATATGGACACAAACACTCCCTTGATAATATAGGTAGGCACAAATTGGAATATCAGACTGTTTCTTTAATAGAAAAATAAGTATTATTAAGATCAAGTAAGATGAGTTACAATGATAGAGAATAAGGTATTCTCCTTAATCCTTCACAAAAAGGACTTGAAAAACAAAATAAATAGGAAGTAGCAAAACAACTTGAACACTGAAAGCGAATGCTAGAGGAGAAAATTCATTTGATAAAATTACAATGTAACAATCGATTCCTAAATAATATAGTTATCTTACATTTTAATATAATTACGATTTCTAACATTTTTTATTTTTAAAAAAATATGATTATAATTTCTAATTTATTTAGGAAATCTTGTGCTAACCCATTCTGCATCAGTCTCCTGTGGTTGGATAAAACTTGTCTACGAATTTTGAAGTAGCAAATGATGTAAAATCTTGATCTTCAAGCTTCCCATGAAAACTTAATGACCTTTGTGTTTGATTTTTCTTGTCAATACCTAAAATAATAGGAAGAGAATTGTTTAGGAGCGTTAAATCTTGGCGGGATAGTGAAATCAACAAGTTAACCAAATGGAATGTCAAATCTCTTGTTGCATTGAACTTTCATAGAGTTGGCTCTTAGGAAAAAATATTGAGCAATAGGAAGACATAATTGATTTTCTTGCCCATCCATAGAGTTGATTCTTGGGGAAAGATCTTGAATAGGAAGGCATGGTGATTCTTCTTACTCTTCCACCTTGGAGTTTGATAATGTGGACCTTAATAAAAGAGAGGTACTCGTTCACTATAAGCAAAATCATCCTCGTAGAATATATAACCATCATTTGTTTCTTGTATCTCTTTATTTTCTTTTATTCCAAAATGCAAGTTATTCTTCGTTGGGCATTCGTAACTCATGTGCCCACTTTGTCCACACCTAAAGTATACAACTTCCTTACCTTTTGGAGTTTTGAAATTTGATTTTGATCCATTCTTCAGCTCACATTTTGCTTCAATTGTATCTTTAGGAGTGGATTCCACAATGTTTTTTGGGATTGGGTATTTCAAATGCTCTTCCACATCAAGAGCCGATTGGTAAGTTTATGTTATAGTTGTAGGAGGTTGTTGAATTTAACTCTCTTTTAATGTCAAGTCTTAGTCTTGCCTTAAATTAAGATGCTACTTGACTATCATCTTCAACTAGTTGACTAGTGCTAAAATATTATAGAATATTCCCTGTACATAATAGTATGATTACTTTCTAAATATG